AAACGGGTGGCGGATAAATGTGGATGGTTTCTGGCAACTAGTATTGTAAAATAATATCCCTAATGAAAAACATGATTTTTATTCATGGTAAGGCAGAACCAGGACCCAATTATCTTCGTGACGTGACACGAGCGGAACTCTTGCTTTCCTGCGATGGCCTCGATGATACCAGTTTGATAAAGTATTATAAGATGTGATATATAACTGATGCATACAATTAAGGACAAGATACATTGGAATACGTTTACAGACATAAGAATAACTCCACAGATGTGTACTCAATACTTCCTCAATAAACACAGGCCCTTTGCTGATATACACGATTTGACAGCGATCAGGAACAGCCTTGTAATGCTCGCAGGACAGCATTCCCTGTGTTTGTATGCACTGCAGGTGTGCACATTCCTCTACTGTTGAGGATCAGACTAGACGTGGTAAACTCGACAAGAATTCTCGGAAAGGAACAAGAGTTGTGGTGGGACTGGCAGAACTTCATGTATCGCTCATACGCTAATGAGATATCGGGACGATATGATCTGAAGCATTAGAAATTTGTGTTTATCATTATAGATTATAAACGTAAAAGTTGTAAATGTCAGTGGTTCCATCATGGAATTAAGGAACCCTACACCATGACGTCATTTATTCTTCTTCTAAACAGGCATTTTTGTGCAACAGTTAATAAAGGGTTTCCGGTGTATCCTAGAAATATATCTGTAATACTATTGTGATGTGAAATTACGATGCAATACAGTCACACCAAGCCTTCTTGTACCACGCAGCGGGGTTAACCAACGTGATGATCCACAGGAGATTAGTAGCCTTTCAAATCATTCCGAACCCACGTGTTTGTACCGATGACTCGCGTTTGTGCCGATTACTGAGATGTTTGAAATATACAATGTATATATTCTATATAGCTCACACCTCTGTAGGTCACAGTGCACAGCTGATGCTTACATAAACAAGTACGTCTTGCCTTTAAAGGATGACATTTAAATTTTAAGAACGCTGTTGGTTTGTAGGCACGAAGGTGGAAACTTCGCTTCTACAATTGCTCAAATCGTATACATGTATTGTTCCCTAAATCCTTTAGCATATTTCCACAAAAGTTGGGAGTCGTTACATATCAACACTTTCGGGAAACACTTGATCTAATTAAAATGACTGTCTTTTAAACACGGAGAAACAAAATCCTTATCGTACTGTATGTTGAAAGACTTAGTGCAGGGAAACACCTAAAGTGAAGAAACTTTAAAATAACATGACCCAGACTCTCTAGTTCTTTATATGTTAAAAATAAATGTGTTCACAAAATTGTAACATTAAACGATAAAACTATTGAGATCGGAACATAAACAAAACAACACAGATATATGTATACATGTGAATTACTGGTTTTGTTCCACCTTTTCAATGGTCTCTCATTAAATTCTCATCTGTTCTGATTTTGACCTTGTTTTGTCGAATTCGAGTCTGTAGGAAGATTTTGATGACATTTCTGTACTTTCATTGTTGTATTTGCTACCAGAAGTGTACATATACATGTGTATTACATGTTTATTACGTGTTTGACCGTTTTTTCTCTCTTTTCATACTGTGTTTTTAAACAAAGCCTAAAAGGAGCACCAGGTGAATAGTTCCTTCCATCTTGTTACTAATGTACAATTATTATGGCTAACTTACCTGACGATGTATTGAAATCATAAAGTAAATAACGAAATATTTTTTTATAGTTTTATAGTCAGTGTGGCCTGAATCTGTATTTTGCTACTTCTTCTCAGACTTCTAAACTTTTATAACACTAACGAGTCCTTGAAGGACAGCTGTGATAAAGTTCAGGTCATTAATTGACTAACTCTCAATAACGTACAATCATTTATAATTACCTAACTCGGTAGCATAGGAGGAAATTTTAATTCTACATAGGTGTGGAGAAAGACTGTCGTTGATATCAAATATGAAGTTGTAGGAATACAAAATATGCTTGTAATGTAAGATTGGGTTGGTTAAGTCCTAGTGCCTTTCAACTTTTTTACATTTGTACATGCCGTAAAGAAACGTTTAATTTTCCTAAGACCACTTCCAACTTTGTACAATATTTCAGAAGTCGTTCCAACGGATAAGCTCATTTAAATAAGGTTTGAAACAATGTTTTCATGGTAAATTGAATAAATTAAAACACATGCCCTTTTATAGCAAAATCATTTCAATATTTTCAATTCCAGTACCGACTCCTATCTGCTACCTTTACGACAAAATTACGGACTACGCAATTGTTACAACTAAAATATTCATAGATTGTAAATTAATGTGCGTGCGCATGGATATATTATTTGGAATGCTAATGGGGTTTTGAAAAACAATGATATAAAGCTGGTCAGTTTTTCTAATTTTCTATGCTTACAGATCCTTCTTGGTTTTGCTATGAGGAATATTATCTCAACAAATTTTTATGAACATTTATTACAATATCGTTTCTCAGAATTATTTGATCGAAACGAAAGAAATTGTTTCCCTACATGATTTAAAAAATCTCTTGTTCGGTAGTTATTTCTTTGTTTTCATCTTATCGTAACTGGTTTAAGAAACGAGTTTCGGGTTTTCCCGTTTGTTTGTTTGTAGGAGTGTGTGTTTTGATAGACAGGGAATTACAATATCATGCCAACACGAGGAAGTGTTTATCCCACATCCTTTAAACTGTGTTACACAGTTGTTCTTTTCGATATTAAAGCATCTGGAAATGAATTACATATTTTTCGTATCTTTACTTAAAACTTAAGTAATATGCCAACAGCGCTACAAATACTTTGTCAAAATATTTATTAAGTTGATTACAGACAACATCCCTCCGTTTATAAATTGTACACAATGCAGCAGGTGCATAAACTAACAGATACTACCATTAATTCCACCTGTCGGACATATTGCTGTATAGAGCGATTGTTTAACTGAACATTTCATAAAAAAAAGATCATATCTCTCATGTTCAGAAAATGAGTGGCCATCCCCTTACCAATCTATAAGACTGTAAACGTACCGTGACTCTGCAAACCAGGTTTACAGCTCATTAGGCAGATAACAAATACATCACACCACGAATCTCTCCAGCCCTAATAAACTGTTGTATTGAGTGAGTTTTGTTTATTCTAACCATCATTGCTCCTTGACCGGACCGTCCATAAGCAAAGACCTAATTTCTGTAACGTAAACCATGAACCGCGTGCTGACTTCCCGCCACTCTTGAAGTCAACCGCCGTCTGCATCTTGTTAACGTACATTAGAAATAAAACGAAATCTCTTGAACTGAGTGTTTGCTCTCCCTGTTTGATCTGGGATCTTATCGGGCCGTCCATCAGCACGCGTCGCTTTGGTTACGTAACAATAGTCCATTTGTCTGTTGATTTTTGTATAACAATGTTCTCACAGAGCTAACGATAACTGGATTATGTCTTTCTATAGCAAGCGCCAGATTCTATCTCAGAACGTGCTCTATAATCCAGGATAATACTGTAATCCCTCTCCCTACTGTATGTCCTATCGTCCGTCATACAAAGTCCACAATGAGATGTAATTTGTTATGAATTTATATAAGTTATAAGTATTTACGTGGATTATTAACGAGCCAGTTATTTGCGCGTGAATTTATCTTACGGATAAGTATCACAAACCAAATGTGACAGACCAAATACGGCATCACTATCCCTAGGTAACATAAAGCCAGAATTTCACTTGATAATCAAAACTATTTATTTACGTGGTGACAAGTCTAAATATGGAGGACTCAAGATAGGATGAGAATAACAAGAGGATGACGTCATTTGTACTTTTAAGCGATGTTTCTGTTTCTTTTGAAAAAAAAAAAAAATCCCCCGTCCTTCCGGTCTTGGTGGAGTAAATGTTATCTTGTACACTAGTAGGGAATTTGATGTTGTTACACTAATCCTCAGTGGTGCTATTAAGCTGAAATTTTACGGAGAATTACATTTGGTACATCTATTCATTTATCATGATAGAAAAGCCTATTTATTCACGGCATTCTTTTTTATTTGCCTTACACACAAAGAACAATGATTTAACAACGCTATAATTAGCACTAATTACGAGAGAACAGTGGCATATTGTTTAAAATCTGTACTCAATATCTTGACCACCGATTTAACATGGCAATGGATATAATAAAGTTTCTACAAGTAGTTTTAATTGTTCATTGTGAGCCATGTACTTAAGCGTGGGTTATTTAAATATCATTAAAGATAAACTGTTTTATTGTAGTCGTTAAATAAAAAAAAGAACAAAAACTAAAACGCTCTAGTGATATTAAGTATGGAACAATCAAGGGACTTAAATATATACTCGAATCTGGGGTACTGATTTGGATACAGAGATGTAAACCCATGAGAACTAGTAGATGATGCTGACTATGGTAGAAATATGTGGTCCGTGAAACATTTGTTTAGTATTACATCATTTCATTCTATAATACCTTTAAAATGCTTTCAAAACCTTTTTTATTAGAAAGGCCTGACAAGGTCGTTTTTGCATGCACTTTGGCACGAACGTTACACGTAGAATTCTATTCTAGCCAAGGCACTCTCGTTCACGTCCAAACGAGTTAGTCTCACCCCTCCACAACCGTGTTCCTTTGACTCTGTACAAAGTCTCATTTATTTCTCTTGGCATGCATGTTTTCTAAACAGCTTGCAGTATATGTTTGTACCTTTTTATCGCATCATTCGTATCCAATCACACCAAACCATGGTTCCGCTTGAAAAAGTAGTCCCTCAAAGAAATGCATAACAAGATTTCAATAGACCCCTGATATGTTTAAGTTTAGGGTTAAAGTTTGTAGTGGTCGTGTAAATGATTTGCCAGGAGTTGAGTGGGAGAAGCATTTGAAGATAATGTATGGTATTCCCCCATCTTGATTTATCTAACGCAAGCGAAATTTGGTACAAGGTATCCATGGCAACTTGAAGGATGAGTCGATCGGTAGGGAGGGTAAAGAAGTGCCCGGCAGCTCACCACTGTGTTGGTAAAGGTGTAGGTACTGGTATTGACACTGTGCGGGGGGCGACACAGGCGAAGACCGGGTAGGACCAGTATAACGATATGTTACTTTGATAACTCGCACATTGCCATCATTACAGCTATTAGCATTGAGTGAATACCTGGTAGCCTTAGTAGCTTCTCACAACGTGCACACCAGTGGACGGCGCAGGTACCAGGCAGTAGACTTTAGCCACTCCAAAGGTAAGCGGAATGACCACTTAGGCCTATAAGTTTTTGTAACATCAATTTATTACACTATTATATTAAGCCGACATCTTATAAATTACATACAATATAAAGTATAGCGACGACATCACTTAAGGATTTCAGGAATGGAATTTCTTTTCGGCAAAGTGTCCAGTGATAAATACATATCATTTGAATCTATTGGAGCACGTGACTATTGGTAACTTCTCCAAAAATATGTTTATTGGTATAGCTTTTCTCTGCTTCTGGTAGATAAGGTTGAAGGGGAGTCCAGCATAGATGTTTCGTTACAGAGATAAGCTCACCTTCACGGTTGTATGTATATGATATGGCGTTTTGAAAAAAAATATACGTTTGTGGATATAGAAGGGTTCTGATACGTATATTACAACATACAATGTACAATACTGGCGCCCTAGCCTTAACTACACGGGTCTGCTTCGTGGACATTGTCATGGCTGAAATATCTTATAAAGATAAAAAGTGTTTAAGTTAATTACACTTACATCATGTTAGAGTTACGAGTAACCGGCAAAGACTTGCATAATTAACTCTCGGGAGTATCATCTCCAAATCTTGGCAAATGTGCAAGGCAGTAGTTAAAGGTCAAGGTTTACTTGCATTTAATCATCTTTATACTTCACTGGGGTACCAAAAGGAAATTTAACCTTCAGGTTTATTTTCTGAACATGGTGTACTGAATGAATAGAACAAGGGGTACCATGAGGGTGCTGATGGTGAACGTGAGGGTACTAATGGGCTAGTGGGTAGGAAATTGATTGGTAAACGAGAAAGTACTGATGGAATAAAGAGGCTGTAATGATGTTTGCAAGAGGGCGGTGATGGGTTTTCAAGAGAGGTTCTGATGGGTTATGAAGAGGGCTGTGATGGGTTTTCAAGAAAGGTTCTTATGGGTTAGCAAGAGGGTTGTGATGGGTTTTCAAGAGAGGTTCTGGTGGGTTACTGATATGTAAGCAAGATGATACTGATGGATTAGAAAGTGGACATTGATGAATGAGTGAAAGGATAGTGATGGGTTAGTAAGAAGATAGTGATGGGTTAGTGAGAAGATAGTGATGGGTTAGTGAGAAGATAGTGATGGGTCAGTGAGAAGATAGTGATGGGTTAGTGAGAAGATAGTGGTGGGTTAGTGAGAAGATAGTGATGGGTTAGTGAGAAGATAGTGATGGGTTAGTGAGAAGATAGTGGTGGGTCAGTGAGAAGATAGTGATGGGTTAGTGAGAAGATAGTGATGGGTCAGTGAGAAGATAGTGATGGGTTAGTGAGAAGATAGTGGTGGGTCAGTGAGAAGATAGTGATGGGTTAGCGAAAGGATAGTGATGGGTTAGTGAGAAGATAGTGATGGGTTAGTGAGAAGATAGTGGTGGGTCAGTGAGAAGATAGTGATGGGTTAGTGAGAAGATAGTGATGGGTTAGCGAAAGGATAGTGATGGGTTAGTGAGAAGATAGTGGTGGGTCAGTGAGAAGATAGTGATGGGTTAGTGAGAAGATAGTGGTGGGTCAGTGAGAAGATAGTGATGGGTTAGTGAGAAGATAGTGATGGGTTAGTGAGAAGATAGTGGTGGGTCAGTGAGAAGATAGTGATGGGTTAGTGAGAAGATAGTGATGGGTTAGCGAAAGGATAGTGATGGGTTAGTGAGAAGACAGTGGTGGGTTAATGAGAACGATATTGCCGGGTTAATGAGAGGGCACTAATGGGTTAATGATGTTACCACAGTGCTAGTATACCACTCCAGATAGATACAGAGGGTAACCGCTTACAGCATTGAGTGCAGTACTAGAAAAAATGTGGCCATGCCTTAGTGAAACTCACTGACGCTTTGTAACACGTATAATGTTTTTACTGAGCCATTTTATCAGCGATCTACATTTGGGTAATTAAACTAAACTGAAGCATTCCTCCTCTTCCATATGTGTGACGTCACACACACTGTGCTCATCACTGTGTTCTATCTTTAAAAAAAACTATTTACGCATCAGGAACTTTTAGGGAATGTCTTTATCATCAACAAAATATGATTCAACTTTAACAGTGGACCTGATGTAAGCTCGCTACATAGAACGCCTAGTGACTCGTTTTAAACACATCAAACGGTTTCCCAACATTTGTCTCTATTTGTTTCTCTCTACGTGGTTTTCAATCGGTATCAAGTGATAAGTTCATGCATCCCTTATTTTGTTTTCTCTATATCCAGTTTCTTCTCGTTCTGTCGGTCTGTCTGGTTCATCTCTCGCGGTGTGAATGTATGCGGAAGCAGGTCGGCACCAGTAACAGTAGCTCGGGTTACCGCTACCGCCTTGTGATGATATCTGTAAACTCAAATTGGCACAAGTTCGGTTATTATATTAGTATATAGTTTTAATTCCGACTAAAACCTCTGTAATAAAACAAATATCTCCACTCTACCAGTACATGAAGTTTCTTAGACACTTTACAAAATTCAACTGATGAGGCACGCCCCGACGTGATAGGCGCGTGCCTGTAGCTATAGCTGCCATTTATCATGTGTCTGACGACATAGTTACGGCAACTCGCTTGTACTCCCTGTAAGATTCCCCATGTCAAGAGGGCCCACCCTCAATATCTCATCATATCCACTCATCATTAACATGTCCGTGGTGATGCAGTGAATTAATAAGTAATAATACGGGGCGCGGGGTGAGTGGAATCTTGTTTGTGACAATGGTTATGTCAATAAAAAAAAGTCATTCACGTCATATACCACTCGTCAACACGTGAACACCATGGCGATGTACTGCAACTATGTCGCAATATAGTCATCATGTTAGGTAGTCTTAATGTCAATCAGGACTTCTCGCTATCCTACATGTACTAACTCCTACATACATGAAAGTATCTCTCCAGTGGTATGTCACCAACGTTGTACATCAATCATAACTGTCAATAAGACAACAAGTCCAAATCTGTTCAATTAAACCGAGGAATTTAATACAATATAAGCACGACGGCAAGTAATTACGTAGTCCCTCACTTTCATGTTTGAGGATATATACATATTTCTTCACACGTGACTTGCCAACATAAAGTTGAATCATATTGATATATAAGAATATATAGATAGCGGCATATGTTCCTCCTTTAGATGTGATTCTATTGTAGATAGTATTCCTTTATGAAGGGTGATCCTATTATAGAGAGTGTTCCCTTAATTAAGTGTGATGCTTTTGTGAAGAGTGCTTCTTCGTTAGGGGTGATACTATGATAAATTGTTTTCAACAAACGTAATGTTATGCAAAGATGCGCTGTGGCGTGTGTTCCTTCTATAGACAAGATGCGATTGTGTTGTGTGTAGGTGTGATGCTTTCGTGGAAGATTGTGTGTATTCGGTAGGTGTTATGCCATTTGGCGTGTGTTCCTTCTATAGACAAGATGCGATTGTGTTGTGTGTAGGTGTGATACTTTCATGGAATATAATCTTTCAGTATGTCACTGTACATTGTGTGTATTCTGTAGGTTTTATGCCATTTTGGCGTGTGGTTCTTCCATGAGCACAATGCCATTTTGACATGAGTTCCTTTTGTAGACATGCTGTCATCGTTACGTGCGTTTCTTCAGTTGGCGTGATGCCACTGTGGTATGTGTGCTCCTGCAGCAGGCATGATGCCATTACGGCATGTGTTCCTTCCATGATCACGATGCCATTTTTGCATGCGTTCCTTTAGTAGGCATGATGCCACTGTGGTATGTGTGTTCCTGCAGTAGGCATGATGCCACAGTGGCATGTTTACCTTCCGTAGTCATGCTGTCAGTAATGCGTGCGTTTCTTCACTTGGCTTGATGCCACTGTGGTATGTGTGTTCCTGCAGTAGTAATGATGCCATTATGGCGTGTATTCCTTCCGTAGTCAAAATACCATTGTACAAAATCTACATGTTGGTTGTGTTGCTGTCGTAAGCCTGGTGCCGATGTGGCACGTGTTCCTTCCGTAGGTGTGATGCCATATGGCATTGTGGCACGTCTTCCTTCCTTCTGCATGCATGATGTCATGGTGTTCGTTATGCTAATTTGTAATTTGTTCCTGGCATAGGCGTGTTGTGAGTGAGGAGTGTGTTACGGCTGAAGGCGTTATACTGTTGTGGAATGTATTGTATCGGTAGGCGTGAAACTATTGTGATTTTTTTACATTAAAAATGAACCGAGAAAGAGTAACGCTATTACATAACGCTACAGTACATACCACAGTCATTTATCTTGCTACAGAGTGACGTACAGAAAAAACCAAGTCATTTTCTGCATGTAATGCTTTTGTTGGAACATGTACTTCAAAGTACCTTTCTAGCACTTGGGGTAGAAACTAATTATAAGCCTTAGACGTAAAGCGGAACCATATTCAGTACTTAGTGGTGTGGATGACGGAGCATGACATTAAAGCTTCCCCTAACAAAGTTAGTTCGTGTATTTCACCATCTGTTCAATGATCGCAAGTTTATATCAAACATACACACGTTAGGCAGATCGTCAATAAGTTCGCCGCACCTACCGGCACTAGGTTTGTAAGATACTGGAATGCCAAGTGATCATCGACAGTGTTTGTCTCTATTGATAGACAATACGTAAAATATCATGTAGAGCCTTTTCTTATTTTGTTCTAAACATTGATAATATTTTGATTGTAAAAGTCGTGTTGTATGTTCGTCATCCTATGATTTATCCTGTAAGACTTGTAACATTAAAGAATTACCTCAACCAGTGAGCGTCAGACTAGACAGCCAGAAGTGCAGAGATCGAAATTCCAATGTTTCTAAACTATTTTAATCGAGTCTTTTTGCCATTCTTGGAAATTTCGTGGCCATCTTTGTGATTAGAGACACCTTGGACGTTACTATAGATACTTTGGAGAGACTTGGGTTAATAGCCGTTTGAACGATTAGTACTAAGGATTTTTATTGCCACCATTAGGACCTCTGACTTATTGACAGCCTCTTAACGATCCTGAAATGACCAAGCTATA